GATTTTGGTTGGTAATAAATTCAACTAATTTCCCCAAGTCAAGTCTGTCTTGCTCATGACAGTAACTGGTGTGTGATCTCTCCCTGTTCTTATCTCGACCCACAAGCCTTTTGTTATATTTTTTCTCCCCTTTCCAGTTGCAGAGAGGAGTGATAGAGCATGTTTAGTGGGTACCTGGCATCCAGCCAGGGTGGAACTACCACATGGACAGAGACAGTTTAAGCAGCTCCAGCATCAGCATCTTAATCCTAGCCCTCCTGGCATTCTTTCTTTTGTGACAGTGCAACCATTTGGACAGCTAGATACCAAGAGCAAGACTGTCCCCAGTGCCCCTAAAAAGCAAAAAATCCCAGAACAAGACAAGAAAACGCTGAACTCTTCTTTTGGTTTTGTCCATTTTTTTGTTTTCCCAGTCAGCTGAATATCCTGATCTGGCTCACCACACATATGTACATGTGCTTCCATCAATACACAGGAGAGGAATAACAAACCACGATGTGGAAAGTGGCAGTAAATACCAGCCTACACACTGCTAGATCAATCTTAAAACTTCAAATTTTTTTTTTTGAGAGGACTGTCACTGTTCACATTTTTATGTTTGTGTTGCTTTTTTAAATTGATAGCTAAAATGGCAACCACAATTCAAAAAACCCCACAAAACTACTGTAGACTGTGAAAAATACTGGCTAACAAGAGAAAGAGGAACAATTTACTTAGTTTTATCTTCTTCACTATCAGAAACATAATGTAGAAGCATCTTTGAGAGTTTCCAAAAGGAAACTCTTTTCCTCTATTTCCAAAGGACATCAGACTCCCAAAGGCTAAAGCCACTGCATTTCTCAAATATCTTTGTTCGTCTTGATTGCTTTGCTTAGAAACAAACTTGAACGTTAATTTTAGGCACCAGGATGACAAGCCATCATGTGTTTTCCAAGTCAGAGGGGAAAGGGAATTGTACTGAAAATAAACACATTACCAAAGAAGAATCTGCTGAACATTAAGAAAGCAGATAATGCAGTAACAAAACACAGTACAGGGTATTGTAAGAAAATAAACAAATTGTCTACAAGAAGCCCAGCAATCACAGTCCTAAATCATTTGTGGATATGAAAAAGTAACTGATACCCAAGTCAACACAAACAGCTTTAAGTAATGCTTCTGAAAAGATTTCTCAGCCTCAGAGTTTCAATAAACACCTAAATTTGAGTTATTCCTGCATGGTCTCAGCAGAACAGTACTAATCAGGGAAAAAAGAGGACCTCAAGTGGCAGAAGGTGGCAGCTGCAGATTATTTGAACTGCTTTTCAAACCACTATTCACTAAACAGTTCAGGTCATTTTAATTGCAGTGTCCCATGGTCTCATACTATGCTCCCCGTTGAAGTGAAAAGGTCTGTTCTCTTACACTTGCTCCTCAAACATACTACTCTGGCCCCAAATGTTCTTTTGTAACACCCTGCAAACAAATGTCATTTTACATAGATGAGGAAAAAAACATTTTAGGGCTGTTGATGGCTGATATTTAAAACCCTACATTTGATTTATAGGGTCTTTTTCAACTTCAGTTTGAAACTTTAACTCGTCTTCATTCATCATTAGGCAACTAAACAGCCAGGCTTAAGACAATAGCTTAGAATTTCGGCCTGAACTCTAGAGATGCATCAGAACAACCAGCACCTCTCTCTGAGCCACAAAGCTCCCTCACAGTCAGCAGAGGACTCTGAACTTTTGCAGTGTTCCGTTTCTTGGAGACCGGTGGGAACTGGTTACCTGCACACTTAAGCTGTAACAACTTGTTTCAGTAACATAACTCCAGTTCCAAACCAAAGGGTGTGTCTAACTTTCTCCCAGCTTGAAGCTGTGACACTGTTTCTGAAAAGGGGAAATAACAATTTCAGGTGTTTCTTAGCCCAAGAGGTTTGAAATGCAGCTCCCAGACTTCGGAGTGCTCTGTGGCAACACCAAAGCCACTGCTCCTCAAGGTAAACTTCCAATACACATAGAAATGCCTGAGCCAAGACCCCATAGCAGGAATATATATATATATGTAAGAGAAAACTTGAGTCTTCACCCTGCTGAAGAATACAGTACAATTACTCTCAGAAGTTGGTCTTACACATGTTACCTAGAGTCCTTTTTTATTCTGAGATACACACTGGTAGGCTCCTGATGTACAGCTGTCTCTTCCTGTACATTCCTAGAAACTTAACTGACCTGCACAGAATGTCAGAGGATAACATTAGGAGTACATATTGTTTATACAGATAAGAATATGTATTTATATACATAGAATACATATTATTTAGAAGTCAGATATATGTAATCTAGTCCTTTCACCACCAGAAAAAGTTCAAACTTATAGAAAATAATGTCTATTTTATACATTTTATCTTTTCATACTATCTCTGAATGTATAAAGAAATCCACAAAGTTTTTCTTTCGTAACATACTATCTTATGAAAGCTGAGATGAACAGAGTATGATTAGAAAACAGGAAGATTGGTAACACACCCCTGCAGCACAACCTGTTCTAGCACATTTCTTTCATAGTTTGAAACATAGTGATTGTTCATTAGAGACACACTGCACATTTTTCTAAACCAGTCAGATACCACAGATTAGGTCAGCGTGCAAATTTATGGACAAATAAGTTTAGTTTTAGCTTCCCAATTCTAATCACAGTAAGAGAAGCAGAATACAAACAGCTTGTGGTCATAGTTTTTCTTAATCATTCTGGTAAAATAATGCAAATGTCAACAAATGCTTGCTACTAATTACATTTGCCTATAGTTTCTTGATATTAAGCCACACAAGGTATGGATACACCAACATTAAATCACACAAGCGACTCAGAAGAAGAGAAGAAGAGAATATTCAAAGTTTAGATTTTGTCACTGTCCACATGAACCTTTCAAATGGGGTGAACATTCTAAATCCTGTGAAAATCCATCCAAGCATGCTCACAGACTTTGAAGATTACACACAGAGATGACATACAATCTGATCTATTATGCAAGTCATGCTTTGCTATATGACTTCTTGAAAAATAATTATTCTATATTTTAATTGTTAAAAAAATAAGGGGGTTTCAATCTTTTTATATATATGAGTATAATTTCTTGCATTTCACATTAATAAACTGCTCACATTACAAGGTATTTGCACAGTTAGCCTGTGGAGAATGTTAAGTAACATGGCAAGATAATGTTATGTTTTCTACAGGCCGTGGAAAGGCAAAACTGTGGCTGGATGTGTGTCAGAGCCAGCATGAGAGCATGCTGCAAAGAAGTGAGGATACTCAGAGCCACTGTGCAATGCTGGTGCCAGTGTCAGCTGCTGTAGCAGGCTGGGAGGAGGAAGAGACAAGGGCTACTGGTGTTTGCAGAAGAAAACTGCTGAAAGTGCAAGAAAGTCACTCCCATCACTCCAAAACCTAATTTATCCTGTCCTACTGGAAAGTCACAGAGAGAACAAGTTCAGAGGGCTTGCAAAGACAGCTGTAGGTGAGAAATTAGTTCAATAATGGCTGGTTATACCATCACAGATGATGAATACGTAACCACTGCAACTTTTAAATGCCTTCCAAATATTCTCTGTCCACAAAGATCAGTGAACAGTTTTAGAAACACAGTCCTAAAAACAAGGGAGCGAAATGATAGGTGACCAGAATAAAGTGACAAGGTTGGTGATGACAGCAATTACTTGACTCCACAGAACAAAAAACCCTAGGTAAAAGCACATCCTGTACTTGCTTAAATGGAGAAACAATAAAATTGAGTACGCTGAAGCTGTTCTCAAAAGAACATGGTGAAGAATTAGAGGGAGAAAAAAAATCCACCCACTTTCCTGCAACATATCCTATTCCTTTCAGTTCCAGTATGCTTAGGTATTACTGGAAAGACACACAGCACTAAATACCAAAACCACAAATGCATTTTTCAAGTTGAGTGGGTCGCTTAAACAAATCACCTAACATGTTTCTCACAGGCAGGAAAGTTTCTTTGGACAACACTGAAGATGTCCTCATTGTTTAAAGGAAGATCTGCACATATACTGAAGGATCAGGAGTCAAATGTAAAAGATATCGTGAAGAGACACTGAGAAGACACAACACTTCACATTATCTTACATGTGCATTAAATAATAGGGAATTCACTGCCTAGGTCAAAAAAGTCCCACTTCTATTTAATCCTATTAAAGTATAATGCTAGCAAAGGAACAATGCTTTTTTTATTTGTTTGTTTTATTACAGTTCATTTTAAATAAAAGTTACAACTAACCCTTCTTCCTTCTCAGAAACCTTGTTATGTTGAGACAATTATATTTAATTCTTTGGCAGTGTGTTCAGGTAAGTGTCTCACAAAAATAACTATTCAGAGGTACTTTACTCTTCCCTTTGTAAGAGCATTGCAGAGGCTAATACCCAGCTAAAAAAAGATGAAGTTTGTAAAAGTCACTGCCTTTTCTCCAGTATTATGAACATCAATCATCCACAAATTGTTCTAATAAAACTCATTTAAGAATAAAATGTAGAATAGCAGCAGACGTAAACACGGTTTGAGAAAGTAAAAAATGCACACAATTCAAACACATACTTACAGCATATCTCCCAATTAAAAAAATGTCCTATTCCTATTTTGAAAACCTAAGGCCAAGCTTTTTATTGCCATAGCAGCAGGACTACAAATTGCAGCAAGTATCAACAGCTGACCTACACTACCACATTATTTTGCTTTGCCTGTCATCAAAAAGTGTGTAAGTCTGCTGAAATTCCTTGCCCATGACTGTTCCAATGACTGTCCAGGAGAGGAAAGGGGTCATATCTGGACCTTAAAAAAAGGTGCATAGACACATTCAACTCTGAAACAGCAGGATGTAGGATACCTTCACAAAAGTTGAAGATCTTATTGCCAAAGTAAGTTCCCACCCTTGCTTTGCTGCATACAAAGCAGGTATCTGGCCCAGTTTATCAAAATGCAGGCATCTTCCCTCTCTCACAGTGATGGCAACTCATTAAAGAGAAGAGTCACCAACTGTTAGACAGACTTTCATAGTGTTATGCAGCATGGGAACTGCTCATCCTTAAACAACGTAGTCTTTTTGAGTGTCAATTCAGCTTCAAGCAACAAACCTTTCTTGCTGGTCCCAACAGTATGTTATTTTCTCACTCTAATTTGCCTGTTTAAAATATTTAGGAGTGCTCATATGAAAGTGATGAATATGCTCATAATTATGTCCATCTTTATAAGATCCAAACCTAAAGAAAAATATTCAACAAAGCAAAACTATTACAACAATATTTACCCATGCAATTAAATCATACAATTACTACACTACTTCTGAATGTTCTAGACAGTTTATTTCAGAAACAGGACCCAATTCTACTTAAATGTAACTCATAATTTATGTACCCTCTCTCACTAGATGTCTTTGAATATAGTGGAGACATTTAATTACACTAATTGCATTAATGCTTTAGGCAGTCTATAATTGGAACTCCAGCTGACAAAGGTGAGTGGTGCATTTATCTACTTAAATCTCATGCTTTTTAAATTTTTAGTCCTGACTTCAGTGGAGATATAATTTAAACCCCCATAGTATCAAAATTGCCAACAGTGTTGTTAATATTGCACATCTTACTTTTGAAAATTATGGTGAAAATTGTAATTTTTCACACCATATTTAAATCTGAAAGATTTGACAACTGACTATTATGATAGATAGATTTGCAAAAGTAAAATGGAATACGTATTCAAAATATCAATGCTAAGTAACATTTAAGAGTAGTGCCACTGTATTTCTAAAGAATTGCAGTTGATTGGAAAAAGTTAAACTTATTCCTACAGGCTATATCTTTCCTGCTTACAAGCAGACATAAAAATAATTAGGACAATACTCTGTGCTGAAATTACCTGAGAAAAATCTGAATGTGAATCCTAACTTTAAGTAATGTGGTAAGATGTGCCTAACTTTAGGCAAGTTTCATCATGTGGAAAAGTCTGAGCAAACTCCCATTTAAACAGGAAGCCAGTGACTGAGTGGGAAATAAAAAGTGAGTAAGCTCAACTGTTAGGTGTATATAAGAAAGTAACATATCCTGTATTATGCCTGTTAGGAGTAGTAAATATGGCATTGCTGGAAATAGATATTGCCACAGAGAAGCAATCTCAAACTTCATGACTCTTCCACTGATATTAATATTAGACTAAATACTTTCCTCCATATTTCTATTCCTTATGCAATACCAGTGGAAAAATGACAGCATTCTAGAAAAAAATAACTTTTTTACATAAAACTAGTAATTTTTATTTCTCAACACATGTAACATACTGCCTCAGGCATCCTCTTTAACTTTTGCTCCAGTTATATGGTATATTTTAAAATGTTTATGCAAAGAGTATTTAATGTATATATTGTATTTTGTCTTCTAAGTAACAGTGTATTAAGACCCCAATCCTCTGAAGTCCTAAGAAATATGGGAGATCTTTCATGATCTATAAAATGAGTCACCACACCACTTGGCAAAAATCCCTATCAAGCAATCTCAGAAATTAATTACCAGGGTAAATAAGCATTACTTTCAATATACGCGATGTCACAGCAGATTGATTTTCCCAAGGTGCATGCCAAGTAAATAGAAAAAAAAATGGAATTACAAATCAGAAATTCTTGCCTCCTAATCTTTTCAATTAGGTACTGATCAGTGCCCCCCAACTCAAGAAAAATTTTGTTTCTAGACCTCTGTTTTACACGATGTTACATACACTATCACCTTAATTTCTTATGAGATACACTGACCTGGGATTGAAACGGATGTCCTTAGGAACTTGGCTGGGATCAGTGACAATTCTGTCATTGTCAGTATAGCTATCCACATGATGTGGGATTCTAAATTTGGCCATCTGGACTTCTGAATCACTTAAACCAGCGTGAGATATGCGGGCATAACCCAACCTATCAAACATGAGAAGAGTTAGTTTGAAGAAAAAACTCAAGGCAATTTCACCACATTCTTAATGCATGTATTTTTTTTTTCCAGGAGTTATTCTTTAACTTACCAGCATAATTTTCCATTTCTGTGAATCTCACCTTCAAAAAACTGAAAGTGCTCCATGAACACAATCCTAACACAACGTCACAAGTATAAAAACTGAGAAAGCCTAAGTGTTTGAGAATAAGTTCTACAGATAGAAACTTATTTTTAAAATTACAACTTCAGAATATAAGCTTATCAACTTCTTTCATTGAAGAGATTTCAATATTCAAGAAAGAAACTCAGGCATCAATGGAATGAATAATAAGAAACATTAAGATTGCAAATGGGGGTGGTTTGTTACCCTGGTTTTTTGGTGTGTTTTTTTTTTTTATTCAATACTGTTGAGATAGCAATCAAGTTTACAGGTTTTATTCCTGTGAACTCTGCAGAATTTGCACAGTTTATTCAGAATAAATTTAATTCCATTCTGGTACATACATCACCAAGAGAATGATTTACAAGCAATTTGGTTTTGAAAGATATGGATCTCATAGGTCCTAAGAGAAAAGTGTTTCAATATAGGCTTACAAAGTTAAAGTTTCCACTAAACCCAGCATAAAGATTGGCTGGATTAGATCAGCATTTTGCTTCAAGAAACCCTACAATCATACTTCAAAATGTCTAGCTTCTGTGTCACATACAAATTAGGGCTTAGCTTTCACATTTTAGAAGCTGCAAAGCCAGAGCTTTGGAAAAACGTAGTTTTACATTACCAAAGCAGACTAGGTCTGAAGACATTTTACACAGAAGGATGAAACCTGTAATACTGTCTTTGCAATTGTATTCAGAAATACACCAATTCATCCTGATACAGTGTTTCACATTACTTCATGATTGAGCTGTCTATACATAATTGTTTAGGGATATAAGAGTCTTCCACAATCACCTACAGAAGAGTATAAAACTGATTACCATTAAGATATTTAAACCAATGAATAAATAATCTACTTTAGCATACCTTATTACTCCACGATACATAATATAGCTACACCATCTGTCACTATCTGTGCTGTCAATATCCTAGAAGTGAAAGGGGAAAAAAAGTCAAACAAATAAGGCAAATTTTCCCTTAGATAGGCTTTAAATCAGTAACGGGACCAATGTGTAAACGTGCTAAGAAAAATGTTTTGCCTAAAACATTGTAATAAGGTAGAAAGAAAAAAAACACTTTTAGACAAATCACATAACTTTTTGCCATCTCCTAATAGAACACCAAAGACAGAGCTCAGTTTTAAAACAAAAGAATCACAGAATTAGAGGTTGAAAGGGTTGTCTGAAGGTCACCTACTCCTAACCCCGTGGTCAATGTAACTTCAAGCAGATTGCTCAGGACCTTACCCAGGTAATTTTTGAATATATCCAAGGATGGAGATTTCACAACTTCACCAGGCCCCTGTTCTAGTGCTTGACTACCCTAACTGACTTTTTTTTCTTCTGTTATCTAAATGACATTTCCTTTGTGGCAACTACTGTCCATTGCCTCCTGTTCTTTATTTGAACATGTGCATATTTTCTTCTACGCCTATTTTCAAGTTATCAATTTAAAATATTATGCTATTTCCAATATATTTTATCTCTAAAGATGCATTATTTTTACATTACCTTGACATTTCCATTTTCTATTAATTCAGTATAATCTCTGGATCCAGGAGCTGAAGTGATGTACCCTAGAAATACAACTTGCTTAGAGCTAGTCTTCAATAGGTTTGAAACAGCTATTGCCTGGAGTTTTCTGTCCAAGTCCTCTCTGAAAGAAATGGAAAAGACTTTAACACATGTACATTTTAGCTCTGAACCTTTGTGCTATAACATAGCAAGCCACAAATGAATCTGGTACCATTTTTTTGCTCAGTATTAGAGAGAACGAAAGTTTACAGCAAGCCTAGTGATTTAAAGTTATTGTTAATTTGATAAAAGCCACATGATCATGGTAGATGTAATTAGGGTTCTCTTTCTAACCATTACAAGAACAACATTTTCTATTACTGTTTTGTCTTTAATACTGACCTCATCACCAGGAAATGTGAATGTACGTGCTTTGGTTATCTCAGGCTTTGTCTCTGCTTGCACTTAAAATTTAACTGTGCACAGTATCATACATAACAAAGAGCTCACATGCTAACAAAACTTTTATGATGGACAGATCATGGTAAATATAGTCTTAAAGTCTGGTTCACGTAATTTATGAAATATGACTTGAGCTACATCATCCCATTAACTTTACTTAATTATATTTGGCAGGTGTTCTCCATCTCTAATGAAATTTACACAACAGTTACAACATGACCAAAAATGATAGCATAGGTGGAGCCTGGTAAAATACTGCATTGAATCCCATTCCTTGTCCTTGGGTTTGTCACAAAATAACGCAAAGACAGTTCTCTATGATTCTTCATATTTATAACTTTAAATAGTTGTGTAAATCATGTTGTGTTCTATGTTTTGGTTGGCTGGGCTAAATACCATTGAGAAAGGGAGCTAAATGCCATTGAGAAAGGGAGCTAAATACCATTGGAATCTGTAAACCCAAGAGAAGACAAGAATTTTAGTGTGGCTATGCTTTATAAACAGTGATACTTCTGACTGAAGCAAATGCATTAGGGAGAAAGAGCACAGAAACAGGAGACAAAAAAACCCCAAACATTTAAATAGAAACCTGACCTAGGTATGTGTGAAATTGCCTGCTCAGCTAGTTGCTCTTTCCAGAATGACACCTCTCCAGAAGATGGGATCTTTTAAATGACACAGGCATGGTTATATTTCCACATTTTAAAAACAGTATTTAAAAACATCCCTAGTTATCCAGTATTCTATAGTCTATGTCATCCTAAGCAGTAGAAGGAAAAAAAAAAGATTAAAACCAAGCAGTTGTGTGCAACATTTAATTACAAATTCATTCCCCTCAAAAACACAATCTGATTTGCACTCATTTCCCATATGTCTCCTCACATTTTCTCCTTTGTCTTTATCTCACCTCTCTCTGAGGGGGGAATACAGTGCTATTTTCATCTGCTTTGACAAACTGTTTCTCAGACAGGCAAGTCTAATCACCTGTGTGAGGCATAGAATGAAATTCCTCTCTAGAGTTCAAATCGGGAGTGATTTCTCACAACTATATTTGTTCAATAAATGGGAAATTTATAAAAAATTTGTAGGTTTGGAGCACAGTTTCTACACTGGGGAAGGAAATGGGATAAGGAGAATTCTTGCTGTTTCCTGAGCAGCTTCTTTGTGTTATTATATTCTGCACTCTATCCATAAATTTGCCTCTCCATGAATTATAACAAATTTTAAAAAAAATTCCAAATCCTACTACATAGCCACAAACACACTAGATATTGCAGCAAATGTAATAGAAAATACAGCTACATGGAGCATTCACAAAACTATCTCTTATTAATATTCGTTACACACAAGTAATCAAAATGTTGTTTTTCAAGAACTGAAATATACACCTTATTCTCTTCCATCACATATTTGAGTTATTGGTATAATTTTGCCTTTCCAAATCCAGAGATCAGACTTCATATTGCCACTTGCATAGAGTCAGAAGGACACTGATGGGTATTTTTATTGCTGTTTCAACATCGTGCTTTCTTGGAAGTTTCAGATTTGTTACTTTTTGTTTTAATAAATATCATTTTTTCCATTAACACTATCTATCTGTAACTGCAACTATCTGCACTCATTGTGGAATATAGTAGATCTATTCCATATTCATAAAGTCAGAAGGATGTATCCTGCACTGAGATGCATCTCTAGCCCTATCATTTGTTGTGACTTTAGAACGATATCTTTAAATCCCTAGTAATTCAGATAGTAGGCTCAGCTGAGTTTTGCATGACACATTTGTCCTGTTTAAAAAGTACTTCAAAATTTTAAACCAGTAGTTAAGCCACAGTATTTCCTCAAGTGTGCCTTGCTAGAACCAGTATTACAGCGGCATATTTAGAGGGTACAAAAGAAATCCCAGAAATTCACAAATTACATTACATGACTTTGTACGATATGTGTAACAACAAATAAAATACACACTCTTCGTTTCCAAAGTGGGCAACAACGAAATCAATCAGCTTCCCTGTGAAGTTGACCGTCAGGGAAATGGCAGGTGCAATCTCTCCCTCTGGAGACGGAAGGAGGTGATGGGTTGATTTTACAATTGGATACTTTGATAGCGCCATAATCCTAAATGAGAAGAGGCGAAAAGTGACATTTTGTAGTTCACAAGAATCACAGGTGTGAACTAAGCAGATAAATGTGAGCGGAAGACTAACAGTCACTGAACATAAACCATCAGACCAGAATATAAACCATCGCTAGTAGATTTTTCTCAATTTAGGTTTCCCTCTAAAATACTACTTGAGTACATGCCCAAAACTGTATTATCAATTTAATTCCTACACTAAGAAATATTCTGTATATATGAATTCTCACACTGAGCCTTTCACAATATGTATTTCAGACAAAACAAAATTTTATACCACTAGAAATTCAAACGTATTTTATTAGAATCAGAAGCAGAGAGAAATACATCTTCCAAGTATGAGATGTCTCATTTTTCAGCTTCTGTTTAGACATTTTGCATCAGGTTTTTGAAAATATTTCATGAATAAAATTTCAGAGAATTATTTTTCTGCCCCATTCTGCCTCACTTAAATAGACAGACTCTGGAAGAGGAAAGTTACTAAACTCCCCTCACACATGGCAATACTTAGATAGCCATTGCAACATCACTAGAAAGTTCTATCTGCCACAGAGATCTATATATCCCCCTGAAAAAAAAAGCCACATCGTAAGCAACTATTTTTCCAGAAGGCAAAGGTATTGGAAGATATGCAACTGGTAGTTGGTCAAGCATTAAAGTAAAATCAACACAAAAAATCTGGTCAAACAGACGTGTCTTTCTATGCCCATTTCCCACTATAGAGTTCAACCTGGATTTAAGGAATTCAAGATTTCAAATACCTCCAGGTGCAGTTACATTTTCCAACTGCTATCACATGTTTAAGTCCAAAATATAAAGGTCTCATAGCCTAAACCAAAATAATTTGAAAAGGGAATCAGATACAGTACTTAGAATGACGAGCGTCCAAATCTGTACAGGACGCCATTCTCTACTTCACCAAAACCAAAGTAGCTTACAGAGGCAGGCACCAAAACCTGATCATGTTTAACAATGAGAAAACTGCATCTGCATTACATTGTAACACTAAGGAATCAAAGCCTGTTCCTAAAAGACGAGCTCCAACAAGCGATTATGGGGATTATTACTCCAACTATTCTTTGCTCACGTTCGAGCACAGTTAGTATTGGGCAGTGTATTTACATCTATTTACTGTCACTGTGCATGTGAAGATGACTCACCCCCAAGTGTGATCTCTTGTGCTTGGACCAAAATCTGTGTAAAATCCTAGTTTTTCTCCTAGCCACATTGTTGGATCGTGGTTTCCAATGAATGGCTTAGAGGCATCACTCTCTATAATAGTGATAAAATCTGCTTCTAAAAAAGGAAGGGAAAAAACGAAAATATTTCCAAATTTATAACTGTTACCTATGAATGTAACTAAATGACTACAGGATGTTGTAATTTCCCTTTTGATTGCACAAGGGTGGACACAAGTCCTTCAGGAATCAGTCAGGGCAAACTAACGTTCTCAAGAAAGTCATGCCCAAACTTTTGGCCACTGCAGGCCACACAACCCCTGATAAAGGCATACTTAGTGTCTGCTTGACACAGCTCCTCCCTAGTGCACAACCAGAGACATGAGACTGCACAGTAAAGCTGGCCTACACAGACCTCGTGCAGACCATTTCAAAAGCATTAGAGACACTGTGAGTACACTGATTAACAGCACATAGCGACTCTACTGCTTTCAACGATGAACAAGCACTACACAGCACATCTGCACTTACCTTCATCTAACAGATCCTATTGTGCTCCAAAGGGTCCTGTGCAAGATGGAACTGGCTGTTATTGCCAAAGCAATTACTCAACCCTGAGCGAGCCAGCATTAGCCCCAAGGCATGGTAACAGAAGGGTTCCCAGCTCCAATGAATTGATGACCATTGGCAGCCACCTCATTTTCTCATGGCACTGTGGTCCCTCCTTGTTTACATGCAGAAGTGTGGTTTTGTCAAGGGAAAAGGACGGGTTCCCCCATATTTTAACTGCAGGATACAGGAAGAACTATGCAGTCTCTCCAGGAACCTAAGAAAAGCATCTAAGACCTGCCCATGCCTGAAGGAAGGTGGGAGTCTGCAAGCTGGCCATAGGATGCCTGAACCATCCAGGCTCAGCTTGAGCAGCAGGTCCATATGGCTGCAGCAGAAAGTGTTCCCTTCTTGCTGCAATTATACCCCCCTTGGAGTGTTCTCTCACTCCTGAAGGCAATCGAGTCACCACTTCATCCAAAGCTCTTCTTCAAGGAATTTAGACCACTCCATCCAGCACCACTCTTGACATAGAAGACTTTTTGCTTTTGAAATGTCTTATTTAGCACCGTGAAAGCAATGCCAGCAGGGAAAATGGTAGCTCAGAGTACTTTTAAGTGGATTCCCAGGTTTTTGCTTCTACATCATTAGTATACATGATGATCACAGAAACAGTAACTGAAACCATTAAGAAGGGTTGATGTTGTATCCCTTCAGGGCAGACAGAAGTTCCAGTCACAAAAGCCATTACACATTGCATCTTCACTACGCCAACAGAGAGAAGATGAGCCCAAGGAATGCATACCACCACGTCTTTAAAGACAACCCCTATGCTGAAGCAGTTAGTCGCTCTTCTATGGGACTCAAAATCAGGAACTCTTTTTTAGAAAACAAATCTTTTAAGAATTTGAACCTTAACTCTAAATGTATTAATGAATGCATTTTCTGGAAATGTTAACATAGTATTTTATATAACAATATGCATATAACATAAAACTCCAGAATACTGTTCCTTGCAACCTGGAATTAAGATTTATTAATTTATATTTTGGAATTTGCTGCCTTTTTGACTGAACGGTAGGGTGGGGGTTTTTTTTAGAAGTGATACTTCATTACCTCAAAGAAATGCTCAGTGGACATAACCATATTTTTCTAATATTCATTAATTTAAACTATGGTCACCAGAAATAAATGCATTTATTATAATTCATAAATAAACATGCAAAGATTAAATAAACACCCAGATAGGAACTGTGGAATCACTAATGTACAAGATCACTCCAAATTTCAATTCATTTAATGTCTTGGTTGTTTTCTCACATCACTAGACAGCCTACACAGCTCAGCCCTCTGAACCTTTGGGTTCATGGGACAATGGAATGAATGATGCTCGAATCAGTCTGTTCACTCTTCATTAACTCCTGGGCATCTGTGCCACAAAATCAAGCCTTGCACAGGAGCATCTGTCAGTGCCTTCCCACTGCTTGGGTCTGTCAAACCTGAGCTGCTCAGGAAAGTCCTGCAGTGCACTCACACCATAGGAGGAGCTGAGAAAACAAATGGTGGAATAGCAGCATTGACACTTCCTAATCTCCTGAGCTGCTTTAAACCCAGTCTACCCTATCTCATGAGTATCACAAAAAAAGGTAACACCTACAAGCACCACTGGCTGACTCCTTTCAATGCACTCTGCAGCAGCACTAATCTTGAGTCCATATTCTTAATTTCCTATAGCTAATTTTCCAACCAAAATCCTGTCCATGGGCAACAGGTTAGACATCCTTCTTTACCATAAAATCATGACAACTAAGCCAAAACTGTTATCTTTCTTGTATACATTGCTCTGGTTCAGTGATGGAAACACTCATTTGTTTCTCCTCTCTATTTGTTGCTTAGAGCATTTTAATTTCAGACACTTTCAGCATTATATAATGCTTCACATCTAAAAAAAACCCACAGAGAAGTTACAAAGCATTGTATTTTATCTAAAAGGATATTTATCATTATTTTATTTATTCAAAGAGTTTCTCTATAGACAAGTTACTCATCAGCATTATGAGAAGAAAAATCCAAATAACAAACCAAGTGTTTTCTCCAACTAGAAACCTTTTTAAAAACACATTGAACAAGTTATCACCTCTGCAAATGGATTTCTAACAGAAGTGATTGTGTTGGAACAGCTCACCAATTCAGAAGAAAAACACTAAACACAGGTTCTTGTGTTAATGCAAAAATGGACTCAGTCACCCAGCAGGTGTTCTTTCTCTTTAGATGAACCCTCTCAAATATAAATGAAGTGGGAAAAAAAATAGTTACCTGTCTGATTAAGCAAATTAGCTGATCCTTCCAAATTAGACCATCCTTCATTGTCATATGCAAATCTAAAAGGCCAGATCATAGCAGAGAAGTCTCGTTTTGGAGCCTCAAAAAAAAAAATTGAAAAAAGTCAAGTGCAATTTAACTTTTATGTATTATAGCTTTGCAGCCAACAACATCAGATACATGGTGCCATAAAAGACATGCAAGAAGAGAAGTTTTAACCAACACATTTTCCTAATAAAGCTGTCAGGATTACAAAAGAGTTAATCTGCTATTAACAAGTGGAGAAGAGTCATCATAATTAAAATGTATTTGCAAATAAATGAACGTGAAAGAGATTATGGATTATTTTGTCTTTCTAAGAGTAACTAGTCACTTTTTCCACACTATAAGAACCACAAACCTGAATTAATTCTAAAAAGAAAGCCAATTGTATATGTCTGCATGCATGTGCGAATCTAACACTAAACTTTGCAAGCCTTAAGCATCTTGTTACAATCATCGCAACACATAATTTTTGGCCAGGTAGAAAACTGGAATCTTATGATTTTTATCCAATTTCCATAACTACTCTAATCCAGATCAACCAACTTTTCAGAGAGCTTAGATTCAGAGTTATGCATATAAATATAGAAGTACAGAATTCCTTCATCTGGAAGGAACCTCAGAATGTTATCTGCTCAGACCTCCCTGACCTGAGATCAGGTTGCTAACAGCATTGTCAAGTTTGAATACAACTAAAATAAATAAATTTATAAAAGTAACATTCAAATTTAACATATGAGGCAAGAATCTCTCATTTTTTCAGAGTATTTTTTTCCTTTGCAGCAGCACCTTAAATCTCCAAAGACCCAAGCATTTCCCATGTTCAACGTGAATTTACAAATTAAATTTTTGCATTTTCATTTTTGTGTTAGTTTTTCTGATTACTTGGATACTGATACAAAGACTTCTTCAGCACCGATTAACACACCTGAAGTATCACATGCTGTATATATTTTACTGTCTATTTGAAAGTTCCCATTTTTGCAAATACACTACTCACCCCTTGGCCCAGTTTCTTCTGGTAAGTTTTATAACGTAAACCCAGTCCAAGCAAACCAACACCAACAAACAACCACAAGACTTGAAATAGAAAAATACAAAAATTATGTTTTTAGAGCAAGAAAAAATAACATTATTGTAGTTAGAACAGGGTACACTGTTACTCTAAGGTGCACTATTTATAAGATGAGAAATGTGTACATTTAAATTTCAACATATGCCAGGGATAACACCAGTCCAAGGTAGTGTACTTAAGAGTATCTAAATGCATCCAGAATATCTGTATGTGTGCAAATACACTTACATTCTCCAAAACACAACATGCTGAACAGATAAAATATACCAAAACTCTTTGAAATAGTTATGTAAAAATTGTGTCTGCTGAAGAATTTGCTACAGAAGATGAGTAAGAGGATCATGTAAACCTTTCAGTGTTTTCCTCTTTGTGTTGCAGGTATGCATTTGTAGTACACAATTTTTATTTTGGATTAATACAATGCATGGAAAAAAATTTAGTTTACTTTGCAAGCCTTTATATGTCAAAAACATGATTCCTGCCAGACTTCCAGAGTGATCATTTGTTTGACAAGTTCCTGGAAAGGCACTTTGTCTTCACAGAAAGCATATTCAGAGTTTTCCCACTGCTCCAGTAGCCTTCCAAATAAATACAGTGGACACTTAAGAGCTCTCAGCATTTGGCACATTCTAATTTGATGATCAAAGCCCTTCTCAGTTATTACATTTATGCAATGACATATGCTCTCTACAATGACTTCAGTAACTCCTGTTTATTCTTTCATATCTTTAAGCACTTATGAAATTACTGTAATGCAAGTTTTCTGGAACAATTTTGTGTAAAATTTCAATAAATATGATAATGGATTATGTCAGAAGAAAGGACATGCTGTTTAAATTAGCACATGTCAAGTAATTTCATACTCTGCAAGACGCAAAGGTGCTTAAAGGGGAAGCTGAGAAAAAATACAAGTCTGGGCACGATGAGGAAGTACAAGAGGTATTGTTGCAGCGTCACCAGATTAGCTGAACAAGGGCTGTACTTTGTGACAAGGAGTATTTTGAAATATTCACTCACTTTTGTGAAATGTTTCTGAGCAGCAATATTCAAACCACTTGAACTGGTGTTCACATTGCCTCTGACACACAAACTCTCACGGGCCATATTCTTCTGGCCCCTGAGTATACAGGGTAAAGTCCTCCATAAAGATTCCAGAAACAGCCCTGAAAAGTTGTTAAGTGCTATTGTTTCTGCTTTCTAAATGTAGCAAAATGTACACAAATGGCAAGTGATTTGATACAAATCACAGAAGAAAAGATGCGGAATTTGAACCTTCATCATCCTGATCACTGTAGAGTTAGCATGCCCTAATATTTAGCATTTTTTTTCCTTTACCAAACTTCACAATATTGACACATGTTTTTCCTTAGAAAAAACAAGCTAACAATGAAAACAAAAGTATCATTTATATGAATCCCTGAGGTTTAAAAGCCAAAAAGTAGTAAAACCTCGAACATTTGATTTTTGTTTCTCTTCAAAACCCAAGGGAAAAAAGCATATATACAATCTAGAAAGCTGGGATCACCAGGCATAGTTCACAGGCAAATGATGACAAGGATTTCCTGAGCATAGGCCTGGTCTTAACACGAAGCAAAGCATCAAGATTGTATTGTGATGTCAGCCTCAACAGGCTTTGCAGGACTGCCTCCTCACACAAGGAGGTGTGTCACATTACAGAGCAGCTCTTGGGCCAGCCAAGTCCCCTCACACTGCCAGCCAGCTCACACAGCCTTAGGAAGGCTGTCTCACTGAACTGCTTCAAAAACGACATAAAAAATGGCCAAGAAATTATTCCTATCTTTTGTGTACTCGTTGTAAATCTCAAGATCCAGAGAGGCCTCTTCCTCAATCTCTAAAATAAAAGCACAAATGCTGCTGAGTCCAACCCATTTACACATTTTGGTTTTTGGTCTCTATTTAACACACTCCATCAGGAATAGCTTCTGTCAGTTGTTATCACAGTGAGTCAGCTCCTCCAGTAGAATATGTCATCCTTAAACTGGAACCAGGGCAATACCAACTACAAGTCTGTCTCTAAAACTAGCAAAAAACCCACATTTCTAAAACATCTGAGCAAAAAGCTCCACAGTGTTACTCTTTTCCCTCAGACAATATCCCTACAGTCAGGGAAAAAAGGAAGTAAATTTATACTTACATAGTTTAATATAGTTTTTAGTCTTTTTGAATAGTGGCTTTTGATGGCTTTTCACTTCAAAGGTAGAGCTAAGGTCTTTCTTGGGTCCTGTTAGAAAATCTAGCCCAATACATAACATGATAAAACCTACAAAAATATAAGTAATCAGTTTTTTCATAGAGCCTTAATACATTAAACATTGCTCATAAACACAACACTTATAAACTTCCAGCTTATGAGACAACAACCTTATGGCTCCAACAACAAAGATGATTCAAAGCACAAATGCAGACAACTGCCGTACCTAATGTAGCAATGCAGGACATATAAGATTATTGACAGCACTCTCAAGCAAAGACTGATTTGCAGTATAGTTCCAGGGCATTATGTAAAAAGGCTAGCACAAGTTAGATAAATCATGCTAAAATCCTTCCAGGCCCTGTTGATGGATACAACTCCCAGCTCAGTCCACTGTTTTCAAATTTTACTGAAATCAACCTGGACAAGAGCAATTAAGTTACACCCACATATTACAGAACCTTAAAATAGCAGCTTTATGAAAAAATACATTGTTGATTGTAGATATGTTTTATCTACAAATTAACTGCTCTGTCACCAAGATAAAAGTAACACATTTTTTGTATAAGAACTACAAAAGCAATTGCTCATCGATTTGTACTAAAACAGCATAAGCAGATTGCAGTAGTTGGAAGGCCAATTTAACATGGCAGCAATTTGTATTCTTGCATTCCAGGGCCAACAAAAAGGGCTCTGCATTTTAGGAATAGACAACTAAACACACATGTAGATAAATTTTAAAAACTAATCAACAACTTCATGCACTAACTGTTGCGCTGCATTGAAAAGGTATCTTTTCAATAAGTAGTTCAGACTGTTAGTACAAGGTCTTTTCCCATTCCTTATGAGATAAAGGATCCAATTACCTTCAAAGAAGACATGGGAGGATAATGAATTGGGTAAGAGCTCTGCTGAAGAAGATATATGTCCTTAATATCTTTGGGGCACCGTTAATTGACTATAGAAGCAGTGTTTTACTTCAGAGTTATAGCTGATGATGAAATTACTATTACTCAGTATTTTTTATTGCCCTTACTTCTTACATTAGTTGTAGTGAAAGTTTGCAAACCAAGCTAGGTCTAGAGCAATGATGAAGGGGGCACACACAAACCTTCCTCAAAGGGCTGATTCACAGCCATTAAAGGAATCTGACCCTCAGCATTATATCACATCACAGTAAAGCAGCACAGAAATTTTGAATATAATGATCTTACTTCCATTGTCAGTTTTCCTGGTGCAGCTCCCTACCCAAACTGCAGCAAGAGAAAGGCAGGATATTGGACAGGAGGAGAAAGCAAGAAATAGCAATTGCACCTGAAAGAAACCAGAAGAAAACAAGCAGTTCGCCAGAAAGCCAAACTGTAAGGGTAGAAGCACAGCAACAAATATGTAGTCTCATGGTATAATTTGCAAATCTGTGATAAGCAATGGGATGGCATTAAAAAGACTGGATTCTCAGATGGTATTTAAACTCACGTAGTGTCATCAACTGAGATGGGTTTAGTTCGCAGATTTCGTTTTACCAAAGAGAAAGTTAAGGCCATCTCTGTGTTACTACCTTGTGATCATGCCATGTAAATTAATCACAACTGTATTTCAAAGGAAGCAACAGAGAGGGATTTTATATAAAACATTATTTTATAATGTTTGTCACAACATTACTCAAGAAAGCATTTGACACTCCTCTACCACATGCTTCCTTCATATAACTTCAAAGAATAAGATTTAATTAACTAAGATACTGTTTTTACAGACCCCCTAGAGTGCTTTGAGAACAAAGAAAATAACGCAATAATGGAATGGAACTCTCCTCAAAACATAACAAACTGAAATCCCTCATGCCATTGATGTAATATAAGAAATGCTTATAGAGAGTAAGGAACTGGAGTGACAGAAAGTGGTTGCAAAAACAGTTATGAAATCTAAAACCAGTGGAGCAACAAGTCAAGCATAGCATTCATTAATCCTTTCCAAACAAAATACAGGCTCATACATCACATTTTAAAATGTGCCACGCAATCAGCTCAAGGCAATATTTGACATTGTTTAAATATAGTTAGTGAAATATGTTATTGAAACACTTTAGTACCTATTGAGAAAAAAATTCTGGAGACAAAACCAGGAAGGGTTGGTTTCATTTCCATCTCTCCACCCTCAACAAGTGACCATTTGGCTAAACCCTTTATATTTGCTCAACTCGGTTGTTCCTCATTTGCAAATACCTGACAATTTTTTTTCTTCCTCTCCTGTTTGCATGTTTCTGACACTGCAGGTTCAATAACATTCCTCCAAACATGCTGGTGTGTTCACAAAATGTAAGGTAGAGCCACACAGAAAAGAATCTCAGGTCTCAAATGTAGATTAGCTAGATCAGCAGGATGATACACTTTGCTCTTCAGAGTAGGACTTCATAATGCACTGAATTATGTCACGGTCCCAGTAACTACATTGTTACCTGAGGTACCATACTGCTACTTTGGGTAGCTAGCATACAGGTGCATTCACAACCTGGACTGCAGCCAGGTTTTTAGGGTGACCGATCAACAGATCTCTTCCTCAGTTGCTTACTGAGTTATCAGACATTTTTTCACTTCATCATTTTCCCCCAGCTGAATTCCATTTTTTGTCCACATTTTAGACTATTTCTAACAGTAAAGAAACAAGTTGGGGGTTTTTTTGCCTATCTCATTAATTTTTTCATTCTTACCATAGTAAATCTAACAGCAACTGAGCATTTGGAAAGACTCTTTATACGCTAGCTACATTTCACATGTCTGGCTGAGGCTAAAACAAGTGTATTTGTATTTGTTCATAATCAGAAATGTACCTAAAAGAAGATGGGAGCTTTCTCTAATGTAAACTCCTCCAGGTACAAATTTATAAGCTGTACACCATACACAGAAGAATAATTCAAGAACATAGGCAAACATGGCTGTACTCATGGCTTTCCCAGGATGCAGACAGCTAGCAAAGCGTCCAGCTAGATGAGGCCACACAGACATAGTAAAGACAGCAAGAATGTTGCCTGCAACAGCAGCACTCCAGGTGTGTAAATAAAGAAGACCAGCTGAAGATGCCAAACCTGAGAAGGTATAGAAAAGAATATAGTAAGTCTCAGTCATGTTATCTGCCACATTCATTTTCACATTCTGTCTGGGAAAAAAATACAGTCTGGGAAATATAACTGTTCTTTGCAGCCATGAAAACTGCATCACTAGGATCTCACAATTGCCAAAGACAGTCTCTTACTTTTCCTAACATCTCATTTTTTTAAAGATTGCTTAGTCAGCTGAAAACAGTGCAGCAAAAAGACAGCAGAGAAACATCATCAAGAGCCAAAACTAAACAGTTTTTTTACATTGAGCTCTCCCAGCACAACAGAGGGATGATGCACTCTTTAAGACAGTATCAGGTTTGCCTATTATGAACCTCCTTTACCATAATAAAGAATCAAATAGGTTAATATGAAGAGCAAACATATCTTTCCCTGATCTTTTTTCCCTGTAGATAACCATATACAGGTTAGGCAAGAAAACTGTTAATCTTTTACTAACCCCAAGAGTTTTTATTTCCCACACTGTCTTTGATTTGGGAATTCAATCCCAAAGCGAATATTAACAACCACACAAGCTCTCTATAACAGGACAATCTCATTTTCAAATGTTACTGCAGGTAAGAGTGTTTCACAGTCTCATAGCAAATGTATACAAATGCTTTTAATATTTTACTTATACATCAAGGCTCTGAGTATTTTAAAATACAATGGCTAAATCAACTAAAGAACCATTCTGTACCTGTTTCAAATTAGTGATGTGTGTACATTAAAAAACAGATGCTCATACTCACATTATAATCTGCACACACATTTCTTAAAACTAACACCTACACCAGAAGGTAAATTGCCCAAAAGGACAACCAATGGTTTAAGCATTGGCAACTCTTGTGCCTTCAATGTGACGCTCCTAATATTTGGTATTTTATTTTGATTCCTGACTAGGAGAAACTCAATTTATACCAAATTTCTTGCCTTCAAGGTTGTGGAAAATGACTTGAAAGTGCACTCTTAAGTGCTCCAAAACAGAAGGTGAATGAGAAAAAAAACCAAAACATAACTCATCATTTCCTTTGGTCACCATATTTTGTATTCCTAATTTATGATCAAACATTTGTTGGAAGACCTGCTGTGTCTTCTTTATATAAAGATCTAAAGGCCAAAAACAGAAGCAGATTTAGAGGTTTTTTAGACAGCATTTATATCACTATATTTCACTCAGATGGGATGACAGATTAAACCAAGCAGCATCTATCCATCCATGCTGAGACAGCATGAAAAACACACCTCTCCACAGTTCAGGAGCAGAATTATTTTCATCTCCTCCTACTTGCTCCACACATCACTTGCTCCACAGCATAGTTATACCTTTCTCCTGAAAACGGGTGCCCAGATCCAGTACTTGAATCCCACTTCCCACCACCTAAGACCCACTGTATGCAGACTGATTTACAAACATATTGCTCCAGTAGACAGCTTTGATGTTCATATTATTTTATTGCCTGGAGATCTTGAAAAGTAAGAAGACAGGAGGCAAGCTTGCCTCCAGATGAAATGCACACTAAATTACAAGTTATTTTGCCTCCTGTAGAAGAATTAAGAGGTTTGTGTCACCTTAACCCCATAACCCCACATGTAGCCTTATCATAGAATGACTAATGATGGAAAAGACCTCTAAGATCATCAAGTCCAATGTGTTATGCAATGCAGATGGTCAGAACTGAGATGCTGCTCAAGGGAACAGAACCTCAACAGGGGCTTCTGCAGAGAGTAACACTGCTCTGCAATGGCCTGGAGATTTGGCCTGTAGTCCTTAGTCAACTGGTCAGACATATGTATACTACAGTCAGTGACAGAGAAAAGGAGGCTTTGATAAGCCACACTTTTCTGAGATGTGGTGTAAGGTCAGAGGACTTGAGTAAAAGAAATAAAGTAACAGAAACAAAAATTCTGCTCAGGATTTGCACCTACCTATGAGAAACCAGGCAAAACTGATGACAGAAGACCAGCTCCAAAATGAAAGCATCAGTCCCTGAGCCAAGCCCAACAGAACTGTACCTCTAATACAATAATAAGGAAAAAGAAATCATACAGTAATACGATTTTATAAACATCTGGCACTCAAAAAGAAACTTCTAAACATAGGCCAGGATGTTTGGTAATATTAATAATCCTTTTACTTTAAACAGAGCTTAATTTGAGCACAAAATACCTTTACTTCACACCCTGCTGTATTTTCTCCCCTCTGTAAAAAACCTCCAGTTGAAAATAATGGCAGTTTATTGTAAGGTATAAGTGAGCTATGCTCAGCACCAGAAGCAGCCCACTGAAATCCTGAGAACAAAAGGTAAAAACAACCCAGAGAAAATGAGAGGGAGGAATCCAGTGCAAAAAGAAGCATTTTCTTCACATCAAATAGGGGATCCCAGAGCATCTAACATTGCTACCAGTCTTGGGTAGCTCTTTTGTATACCATCTCCAAATTATAAACTCTTTCACCTGCCATTCCACATAATGGACTCAGAATAACTAATCTGGTCTCTTCCTAGGTTTTGGAACCCAAGTGAACAGCACACAGCATCAAGACTACAAACGTCTACAGAAGTATATCTTTTAATATTGCACACAGTTTATTTATGTGCATGCATCTCTGACCATCTCCTCTCTGAAGTCAACTGCTAGACTAATTACTGCCTATAATAGATAGACTGCATTCATAAGTCCTTGAATCTCAATCCTAATCTAAATATTGTTTTGCAATGTGGCAAATTCTGTATTAGAAAATTTTAAGATTTCATGGTCTAGACACAATGCTCAGAGTTATCTGAAAGCTAGAATAAATCTACAAGTCCTCTGTGTGAATTATCTTGTATCCACTTTTTTCTATTTAAATTATTATACCATCATCTGGTTGAGTTTTAATTCATCCTCCACTATAGCACTGGCTTTTGAGAACTGTTTTGTTTAAATAATAATAATAAAAATCCACTTACCCATGTGGATTAGGATCTGGACCTGTATGTGGATGTCCACTTACTGCCCATCTAGAAATTAATGAGACCTCCCCAAATATCCACAGGGTGAGGAACATGAGGCTGCCAAAAGCAGCCCCAGATAAAAGCCAATAAGGATGGGAAGCAGTCTCTCTAACCGCATTACCAGTTTTGTTTGCTTCTTGTTTCCTCCTGTCTCCACCTAGAATAAGCACAGAAATGCAGCTAAGCAAACTGTCAAATTCCATTAACAAGAGTTACTGAGAAAAAGAAATAGCCAAGATCACAAAATTACCAGAATAAATTACAGACACAAAAGCTAACTTATCTGATCATTCATGGAAATTGATAACACACAAAAAAAACCTCAAAGTCTCTAGTAACAATCCTAGGTCTGCCAGGAAAAGCTACTCACAGTAAGTGTACAAAAATGGCAACCTGCACATTTGATTATTCTTCATAATACTGGAATTTAAATAATTAAATTGGCTTTGAAAATCAGCAGAAAAGTTATTGGAATTTGTTCAGAGGATTCCGTTCTCTGAAACTCTAAGCTCTGATAAGAACAAAACCCGACACTTCCAAATAAGCCAGAACTAAACTCCCTTCCTTCTCCTTTTTCCAGGCACTGTAGATCCTCTCTCATCTAAGGAGAAAGCAACACCTTTAATTGCATAGACATATCACTTTGTCATCCACAAAGGAGACATATTTCCTTCCTAATCTCTTGCAGTAGATTCCCTTTCTAAATTCTGATGAAAGTTCAGACTTAATTTATATTATGTAATGCAAGTCTACAAACAATATGCATGATGATAATTTATACCCACTTACACATAGATAAGGTTTTATCTTTCAATTAATTCATTCAGGCTATACTGAGAAGGAAGGAGCTCCTGAGGATTTAACATGAGCTGCCTTAACTAACCAATTTAACTAACCTCGCTGTCTTCCTTGGCAATATCACCTTCACAGTTTTTAAGTGAGCTTAGCCTATGCCAGCCCCCACTGCTGTGTACTCTCTCCAAACACTTCAAGAACTCAGGCAAATTTTGACCAGGACAACTTGTCCGCTCTTCCAATACTTTCTGTTTATTTTGACACATCAGCTGTTCCCCAGCTTTGTCCTGTCTCCCCTTCTCTGTCAAAAGACATGCACTGGTAGAGAACTTCAAAGTGCAGACTGAATTAAGAAAATAAGAGAAATACCACAGATGTTTCATGATGGAATGACAATGACCATTCTGCTTTTATTGGTCTAGCTTATGCCTTTGTTTGTGTTACTGTCACATTATTGACACTGCAATTAGTCCACAGTTCCAACACCAACTTACTACAGCTTGTATGAATTGTGATACCAGTTCTGACATGTTATGGGTAGATGGAAGTACCCCATGGCTTCTAAAGCTCATGCATCAGGTCTAAAAACAGACTCTATACTGGGGAAACAAATCAACAAATCAAAACCCAGTGGCACATAGATAAGTATACTTTAGGATGTTTTCATAGCTGCCATCTTTGTTGTAACATGCTTACCTGAATAAATTCGCTCCACTGCTGCTATAAAACCCATTATCATAATGACAGTATTGGCAACCTGTGAGCTCCAGACTGGGTTTAGTGATGTGTACCAGATGCGAAGAACAAGGAGCATTATCTTGCCTAGCATGAAGCCCCATATCCTGATGAACCTGTAAGAATCAGTTTTTGAAATAGTAAGGCATTAGGGGAAAAGAAAACATCTTAACTTCTAGGGGACAAAAAAGAAAGAAAACATCTTCTAATACAAGGAAATGTCAGTTCCAATCTCATCAGAATAAGAAAATACCTTTGTAAACTGTTTCCTGACCACCATGTTACTGTTTGAACCAGCAATGAAGAAGAAACACCAACAGCCAAGATGAATAGTCTAATTGAAGCATTTGGTGCCTGGTATGATGCTAAGCTTCCTACAAAGAAACACACACAGACAGAGATTGTTTTAAGGGGCAATAGAGATCAGGTAATAAGGATTTCCTGTGTATTAGTTCAACCTTGTCTGTAATTTGAATAGCTACACCATTCATCTGAAAACACATGACATTACCCATTTTTAAACAAAGCAAAGAAATGTAGGTATGGATAGCAAGTGAGTATATATGACTTTATAGCAGTTATCATTTTCAAGGAAAAAGATAAATGAAGCAATTATCCAACGGTGCAGTGATTGCCTTAATTTAAGTACTTATGGTGATTGATTCCATAAATATGATATATGGATAAAATATCTAAGCATACAGATACTCCTCAACTATGCACTTACATAACTCAAAAGCCATAAAGTTTTATGTATGGTGACTACTCCTTTCTAAAAAGGATATGGCTTTTGCCGCAGTGCACTTTTAAAATAAGTGCACTTATAAAAGTAAGTACACTGTGGCAAAAGCCATATTCTTTATTAGACAGGAGCAGTCACCACACATTGCTCAGGGATTAGTAGGTGTGAACAAGGCTTTCTCTGACCCAGTATTTGATCTCAGAGTCGTCACCAACAGCCTGTGTCATCTTATTACTGGAAACCGTCACTCTCCCAGTCACTGAAACAGAGCATGCACACACATCTCCACCAGTTCTCACAGCACAGTGACCTCACCCTATCAGCAGTTTTAGATTCTGCTAGCAGGTTTCCAATTAAAGTGACAATGGATCACATACATTCTCGTAACCTCACTCAGTGTGGCAAAATCTGGCCCAGGACTAACATCAAACATCAGGAGAAGCAACATTGTTATGCTACCAGCCATTTGCTAAATGAGTATGAGTCAAACTTGAAGAGATGTTAAGCAAGTAAGGTCAGAAAAAAAAGCTCCAGATTCTGGCAACACATGCTAGGAATTCTCCAACTGTCTACCTGCTCATTTGGCTCACAGTAGAAGATACAAAGCTTAGCACAAAGATGATAAAATGAAATCAGTGTGTAGTGAAGATGTACTTGTGTGAACTTCAGCAGAGGCTGCATGTACAATGCACACAGATTTCTGTCGTTAAATCGTACCGGCAATCCATAAACCTGCCTCTTAAATCTTTCATCACTTACACTCCCCTGATTAAAGCTAGCATGAGTCTGCCAATTTACAACAGACACACCTTTTGTTGCTGAGCAAGTACACCCAAAACTTAAATATATCTGTCCAAACACCCAAATTTACTGTGTGTTGTCTGAAGACACAGATTCAAATAGACACTACCAGGGGGTAGTTGGTTGCTGTTTGTTTTTAAATAGAACACAAAATCAAGTACTATGGAACTAAAATTTTCAGAGAAAATAAAGCCTCCTGAAAAGGCAAAAAGAAACAAAAAAAAAAAAACATGCCCCTAAATATGGTTTTAGCTAAGCATGAAGAATTTTCAGATTTTTTGATTGTGAAATTTAGGACTGAGTATTTCCAGCGGAATGGGGTGGAGCATGCGTGGGGTAGATTGTGCTACCTGATTGTTCAACAAGCCCCAGAGGAAGGCCATAGCATTTCTGAGGAGGAAAAAAAAGATCAAAAAGAGAATGAAGTGTCTAGGTATGAAGGAGGGGAAAAAAGCAGGAAGAATTGAGAAACAGGAGAAACAGCAGCACAGTGTGATGGGACAGAACTAACATAAAAGACAAAATGAAGTGATGAGAACTAAGTAAAAAGATATATATGGAAAGTCCTAAAGCCCAGTGCTGCCTGTGCAAGGGCATCTGGCTCATTTGAGAACCTGCAGCATGGAGGCAAGTAGAGTGAGGGTTACTACTGGCTGCTAAACTCCTTGATGGAAACAAAGAGAGTGAGGAACATGCTCTTACATCTTCCACAAATGCTAATGCTCGCTGTAGGGCAACAGGTAAAGAGAATGCAGAGTATATACAATAGAGCTGGGAGACAATATGGTGTAGACTTGCAAAAGGGTGGACAATATTCAGAGTGTTTAAGAGGTGAAAACAGCAGGGGGATATGGTCACTGAGGGGACAGTTCCTGAATTTGCATACAGCAACACTCAGGTTATCCCTGGCTGAGGATGAGCACAGCTTTTGTCTTCCTCCTCTGAGTTTTTCTATGACCACCTACATTAAGACATTTCTGTCCCAGATTACTACTGAATGAGCTAACTTTTTATTTGGAGTTAATACTTTCAGGAGCTTCTGATGCAGGTGAAGCAAACAGGCATGAACCAACAGACTTTACACACCATTATAAGCCTGTTACTGCTCTTTACTTAGCAGAACAAAAATTACACTCTTTTAGGTGATTTCCATCTCGTTTGGTAAAGTGAACTACTAAACACAGCAAGGTGATCTGAAGGACTAATCTTAAATAAACATGGCAGATTTTGTGTCACTGTGACATCTGAAGGGATGCAGGGTGCAATTTTAAATGCTTCCACTCATTACTAGTTTTTAAATTAGAAAATCTTGCAGAAAGAGATATACTGAGCACTGCTGCAGGAAGCTGAAGTAGAAGATTCTGCTCACTTAAAAACTTATTACAGAAAAAAAAAGGTATTAGGATGGATAAAATGGGAAGAGTAGGAAAAGAAAAGAACATGGTAAGACTATTCTTAATCTAAACCAATGACACCAACAAACTGGCTTCAGTTCCAGTATTTTTCTAGAGTTAAAAGAACAAGAATTCTTTTCAAAAAATATGCAGAGAAAGTAAATAAGATGATCTTATTCTGTCTTCTAACAGTAAAAGAGAAAAACTATAAGGAAAATGATTCCCTGATTATCATTTTAGATTAACAAACAAGGAACCAGGAACTGCTGCTTCTGAAACACATCACTCAGCAACAGTATTTTCATCTCTACACAGGGTGGAGACCCTTGTCTCCCATGAGTTCATCCGGGTGTTGCAAATTAGTTAGCAATAACTTGCTTCTGAATGCGGCTGTAGGTGCCAAACCTTCTCCCAACAAATTTTCAGAAAATCAACAAAAGGTAAGATTTGTACCAGTTAGTTGAAGACCAAAGCATGAATCCCAGCAAATCTTCATTTTAGTAGGAGTGTGTGGGATGGGTAGCAGGGCAGCTTTTTCCTGAATTTACGATCACTTTTTTCCTGTGCAACTGACAATATAAGTCATTTCACATTTAGGATGAGCCATAACCCCATCAATATACTACAGGCATCTACATAGATTTAATTTAAAAATCTATTCTTAGAAGAAAAAAAACTGCCTCAGAAACTAAGTCTACCAAAAAGAATGTTTCACTCATAGCAGATTACTTTTATAATAGCCTCAAGATGATGTCTTGTCCCTACCCATTGTCACAGACACAGAACTGCTGTACAAAAAACCACCTGCTCTGCTGATCTCTGTGTGATAGTGAAAACACCTTTCCTATTGGGTGTGACTTATACTGATTTAAAAGCTTCTAGAGGTAGAAGTGAAAGGAGATTTTTCTTTAATTATGCAGCAACCCAACACAATGGCTGTAAGCAATATTCCTCTAAACATAGCTAAAAGCTTGAGAGAAAAAAATCCCAACAAAACATGAGTATGGGGAGAGTGAGAACTTCTTATTGCTGTCTCTTTTTGTAATTATTTGAATTTTAAGGCAATTTGGAAGGTTTGTTCTTATGCCTTGATAACAAGATGGAATCTATAACTCACTACAGTGCATACTTACCAACCATAGTCAACCTCAGAAAGACTAAGACGTACTTATTGTTAGCCAACCTCCAAAAAGGGCCAATTGTCAAGAATATTGGAGAAAAGAAAGCAACAGCAAAAACTTCTAGGCCCGTGAGTGCCAGTGTCTGAAGGGGGAAGTAGTAGATCATCGGTGGCAGTGCATGGTAAAGAGACCAAGAAATGTAGCCTAAAAAAAAAAAAATCAAACAACAACAACAAAGGAAAATCCCGTCATGTATTTTCAACAGCAAGGTTTCCTGGAGATTACTTAAAAACTATGATTTTGTACTTCCACATGTAGACTATCAAACATATTGGAAAGTAATTCAACAACAGCACTTTCTGTGAAGAAATATTTGCTATTTGAAGTTAAACAAACACATTTTCCCAGGAAATAAACCAATGAGAATAAAATAGTTCTTCCCCCCTTTAGACAGTAGTTCCTATTTTGATCCTCAGTGAAGGAGTGGTCAGCCTCGGAAAGGGTTACTGTTCAGGGAGATCAATGCTGCCTAAACGAGCAGTCCACCCACAGCCTCAGGGCTCCCCAAAGGCAGATATGTGGCTAAAGGAACTAAAACGGTGTGGTGGTCTCTCCTGGAGACACCTTGTCCAGGCACGCCAGCACTGCGCTATGAGTTTCCACACGCTTTGCAGGAGATGCAGGGAGCAGCCGAGCCGCAGCGCGGAGGGTGTCGGGGTCTGCCCTGAGCGCTCTAACTCGCTCAGGGCAGCACAGCACCGGCTCTGCAACACCTGCACAACAGTTGGCCGAGGACAGCAATAAATCCTAGGCTGATCCAAGGGACAAAAGGCATTCCATCACTAGAGGAAAAAGAGAGCCCTAAGAAGAACACTCAGCAGCGACCACTGTTCGCTCATTTCTAGCGGAGGAGCGTTTCACCGGCGACACCCCGCCACGGTCGGTGACTCCCGCGGCAGCGCGGCCGCCGGCCGGTCCGGGCAGAACCCCCCCCGGTGCCCTCAGCCTCGGCCCCTCGCCCCCAGCCCCGCGGGGAGGCACCGCCGCCACCTACCCAGGAGACTCTCCGACAGAATGGCCTTCCACAGGGGAAACATCGCGGCGCTGCCCGGCTCGGCGGGGGCTTCCTCTCTCTTCCCGGGAGCCCAGTCCCGAGTGCCCAGGAGGGCGCGGCGCCGCCGCCCGTCCCGTCCCGCCTCGGGGAGCCGCGTCCCCGCGGGGGCGGGCAGCCCGCACGGCCGGAGCTTGTTCTTTACAGCCCCGCCACGCGGAACGGCGAGGAGGTCTCGCCCCTTCGCTGACCTGTCAGCAAAGGAGCACTTGTCCACCGAACAGTCACTCCAGCAAGGAAAATAAAAGCAAAAGGTTGTCATCCCACGGACTGATGGGGAAAAGAGGAGCTGACCCACTTGCTGCTTGTATAAATGCTTGGTTGACTATGTGGGGTTCGGAGGTGTCCGGATTAGTGCTGTGCTCATCTTAGCGAAATGTGTGTTGTTTTACCTTCTGACAAGCAATGCTGTCTGCAAAAAGCATCAAAAGAAGCATTTAGTTGGCTGAGATTCCTGAGTCGTTACGTTTGCTAGTTTTAGAAGAGATCCTGAGTTAAATCGACACAGCCATGAGCATAGCTGCCAAGTTATGGTAAAAGGATTACATAAGCAAAATCTGAAATTCAGAATTTCATTTTTGGCATGAAAAGTAAAATTGTAACTAAGAAGTCCTCTTGCTGTTGGAATATGTCATCTTCTTAAGTTTTATTAATCTTCATGCAGCACCCTATGAAACTGCCAGCTGTATCTTCTCATTTGTGTTAAAACTATTGTCCCATTCTAACTAAACTTCATGGTATGATTTTCTTTCCTTGTCTTGTGAAACTCCAAATCCATAGGAGTAAACTATGAATACCTGACATATAGCAATAAATTCCAGTCAAAACGTTTGGAACAAAAGTTTGTCCCAGTAGTCTCAAAGTCAAGTGATTCATTTACCCCACAGTATAATGGGGTTTGGCTAGCTACTAAAACTGTTGAATTTTGGATACTATTTGAAAACATGTTTTTTAAATGTCCACAAAAGAATTGAAGTATTTTGAGGGAAAAGTCAACCTCACTAGGGGAGGAAAAATGAGATTCATAGATTTAGTTACCTTCTTTCTGTCTTCTCCAAGTTCCATGTCACTAAAGGCATCTTTCCTTTTCTTCATTTAAGAAAAGTCATACCAGAATAGTCACCAAGTTCACTTATTACTGGCTCAGGATTATGTAAGTGATGACACCATTTCATCTTGCTGTGGTGTGACGCAAATGGAACTTGGAAGATGAGATCCTTGGCTAGAGTAAGTCTGGAACATGGCTGCTCTTGTAGCTGCACAGGAAAAGTATGAAGTTCACAGTATGCATTCAGCCAATAAATATTTGAAACAATTTTGCAATACTTTTTGTAATTACAGTGTCTTGCTTCATGGTTCAAGGTGGAGTTCCAGTAAAACTAGACATGGCTGAACTCATGAACCTGACATGCTTGTGTGGCTTCCATCAAATTCATAATGCAATGAAGATAATGCAAATCCTGAGAAATTTAGCCAGCATATTCTGGGTAGTCTCTCTGAGATTCTTAGCAACTACTAAGTTTGGCTTCACATGTAATGAAGTGCTCTCCATAGGGCTGACACACATATAAGCATCAGGGCACAAGAGGAGAGAGTTTTCAGGTGTAATTTCTTAAATACAAAAGCCAATGCTTACAAGGTGATTCATAACACATGTATGTGTAGGAATGCCTTTCACTATATTTTTTTAATCTTGAAGCGCCACATGCGTAGCTGATAAAAAATACAGCAAAAGCAGCTGATCTTTACAGGAATATAACGAAGGAAAATCAGCAAAACTGAGATAACATACTATACTAGGAGTTTCCACTCACACAAAAAAGAGTATTTTCATTTTAGAATAGTATTTAACATACCCTAATGTAGACATACAAAATTAGCTGAGATTAACAGAAAATAAATTTCAGCCCCACAGTTATATTGCTTGACAGGGGTAAATCTCTCTAAAGCTAGTGATTGTAAAAAAAAAAAAAAGCCTTTTTTGGGTTCAAACTATTTGGGTTCAAAGTTTTGAAAGCCAAAGTAAACACATGAAATTTAAAACAATTTTCAGACATGTGTAAGAACCTGTCCTTGCATATAGCCCAGCAGAGATGGGCCTGAATGGGCATGATGAAGAAGCAGAAGAAAGAGACAGAAAAATGGAAGAAAAAAAAGGCATAGAAGTATGAGCACAGATTAGGATTAAGAAAGTGACTCTAGAAAAAAATTGGTGTGGGTGAGTTTACAGTTAGGCACCTGTCACTCTCACAGTGGAAACACAAACACATGCAGGTCTCTTCAACCATTTTACTAGCTTCTTTACACTGAGAAGAGGAAATCCCAACTCTTGAATATCTGATAATTGTCAGATCTTCATTTCTACTAGAAGATAAGCCAGACCAAGTGTAAAATAAAAATAAGTACATCCAAGGATCAGCCAGGACATAGAAAACTTACATGATTTCTTGTATGTAGTGAGGACAGTTTAATGTTTTACTTAGAGGTACGTTGACTGTTTCCTGTTGACTGTTTCCTGCTGCGATGTTTCATGTCTTTTCATTCACCCTTAACTCCTACTCTTATTAGCATGAGAACAATATCCTATAGTGTAATTCTTACTTAGTTCTCCATGCTCTAAATATTTCTGTGACTATACATTTTTGTAGCTGCACTGTGCTTCCATTACTCCAGGTCTTCGTTTCTCAGGGAATTTTTAAGCAATTAATGATCTGTTTAATTTTATAATGGACAAATAATCATATTTATGATACGTTCCTCCTTCTCTAATGTGCTATATGTATACATGGGTGTTTCTGTTAAATACCTGTTAAATACTGTGAAGGCTTTGCCTTTAGTGAATGTAGTGAACCTCAGGACCCTGGTAACCCTCCAGTGTTTTCTAAGAGGTTTTTCAGACAAGCAGCCAGAACCTGCAAACCTTCCCTGAGTTTGTGAAGTCTCCTTCTACTCTGATAGCAGAAAATTCCTCAGCCAAACATTCAACTCCATAATGGTTGTTTTATTTTTGGTATCTCTTGGGTTTTTTTTCTTTGATATGTAAAGTTGGTTTCATTCTGGGAGGGGTAAGAATTTCTCTTTTGGTTTGTATTTATTCTTCTGAATCACTAACATTTATTGATTTCTGTCCATTACCTCTCTCCATTTTTTATAACTATGAAGTACTTTCAGGTAAATTTTGGAAACAAGGAGTATTTGAAGAACATACTCAATTGTGATAACCAACTTAAAACTAAAAGGAAGTTTAATCTGATTTTTAATAGGCAATTTTGCACAGGAAGCTGCAAGAATCCAAACAGTCCTGTCCCTAGGCAATCACTATTGCCAGGCACGCATATGCCTCATGAGGAAATTGTCCTTCCAGTGCTCTTTCACTTTATGTCCAGTTTAAGCTGTTATTCTTAACTGTTACCAGTTAAGAAGGTTATTAAGTACTCTCCCCACATGGGATTTTCTCGTGTATTGTATTTTTCAGAATACAATGCAGCCAGTTTTACGTATGATTTCAAGAATACATTTTAGAGCACATGAGCTATTAGGTACACTTTTAAGACTTCTTTTAGGACATCATTCCTGCCCAACCTCCACGTGAAAAGCACATCATGCAGCAGCAAAGCCCAATCCTCTGGTTTGTCAGGCAGGAGTGGGAGAATAGTCTGGTGAAAGGGGCTTCAAGTAGCCAAGACTTCTGGAAGCTGAAAGCTTTTTTGGACTCAAGAAAATAAACCATGACTTATGCTTACTATTAAATTGAGATGCCAAAGTCATGTAAAAGGAGGAAGTTTAATGGTGATCTCACAAGCTGTTGATTTCATAAGTACTCAGGTGTCATATCACCATTTAGGATACTCTAAAACTATTATGTTTCACTGTGAAAAAAACAAAGCAAAACGAAACAGAAATTAAAGACAAAATACAAAATAAAATTCATGTTTCCATTCCTTGCTTTAGAAAGCTTATCCTTAAAGAAGGGCATTGCATTTTTAATTTCAGAGAAAGTGGAACAATTTTTTCAGTATTCCTAGAGGAACACCCCCCCAACTGACATTTTCAGGATAACTTTTTCTTGC